TAACCAATAATTCGTCTCAAAAAGATGATTTAATTCGGAATAGATGAATCACATTGCTTATTTCTGTTTTGTTTTTTGCTAGTATGTACAAGGCTTTAGACTCAATCACACTGACTGAATTCAAAGTGAATTAAGAAACATGATTGGTGTTTCTACGTAACAACGTCAATTATATTGGTTAGTTCACTTTGAATTAAGTCAGAGTGGTCGGAACCTTAGGATCCAACAGACTAGACGAATTAAAACTAAACTAATCATTAAAATAGTTAGAACAGACAAAACACATTCGAATCATCTTTCTGAGACGATTGATCTGAATTTATCTTTTAATGCGCTAATCAGTCAATAGCTTAATTGAACAATGAAAGATACATACAAATAAATAGAAGACTAGATGCGATGTCACTCAAAAAGTATAACTCGAACGTGCACTGCATTCATTTTTTCAATACATTAGAGGATATTTTCAACTGTGATTTGTTGATTAGCCAATGTGTATAGACGTGCGTAAACTTAACACAAGCACAAAAATAAGTTGCTCTCTTTTTTATCTGTATGAAGCTTTAACCAGATAGAACTAGCGTTGTTATGTGATAACACCAATCATATTTCTTAATTTAGTTTTTATTTTTCTATTCTGTTTGTACTCTTCATTCTTAATACACCAATGACATTGCTCACTTGAGCTTTAACGTTAAGGCCCCGAACAGACTGAACACGATAAAACTGCATTAACCAATACAATTCGCGTTGCTATGCAAAAAGGCCAATCGTGTTTCTTAATTCACTTTGAATTAGTCAGTCTGTTCGGAGCCTAATGCACTTTGGCCTCAAACAGACAGAAAAAATTAGACGATTTAAGTCAGAATAGATCAATCACGTTGTTTAATTCAGCTTTAGGTTAATTCTTTTTTTCTGTCTGTTTGACGCTTAGGAAAGAAAAGAAAAAACTATGGAAGGAAGAAGCAATGGACTGACATTTATGTTTGACAATATTAACACACGGATGGAGATTGTTTGTTGATTTCGATAAATTTGTATGATTATAATATTCAGTTGAATAAATATGAAAACAATGTCAAAAAAACGATGGTGGTGTGTTTGGTATTTATCGTCCTCAAAAGAAAACTATTTTCGAGATGATGAAATATTTTTCTTTCAATTAATGATATTAATTCCATTTGTTGGAATGGTAATTTCATGGCCATGCTCAAATAAGCCAACTGTGTGAGTGCATTTCTCTTTTTGTTTTTTGTAACTATATTGAAGAAAAAGGTAAACTGAATTATTTAAATATCTTTATTGTGCATTGAAATGTATAATTTTTGTAAAATAAAAATTTGCAAGATAGCATTTTGAAAGGAGGTAAACGAATAATCGTTAATACAATTGAATATTACATTTCTTCTATCAAGATTATTAATATAGTTTTAGAAAAAATTATCTAAAAAGATATTGACGAATTGAAACAAATTCTAATTAAATCGAATTTAGTTTCAACAAACCGTAGAAAATAATCTATTTCACTTATTATGAAAAGTTTCAAACATATTTAATGTTATTGCATTTTAGATCTCTATTTTGGTTCAATATATTATCGTCATTGATTCTTAGTATTGTTTGCATCTGCCTATCATGTTATCAAGGAGGAATAAATTCCCTATTCCATTATGGTATTATGGTGACTGCCGTTTACGAATATTGTTGGCATGTCTTCTTATTTATTCTTCAAACTGGTGTTGATATAAAGGTTATATGTGAGACGCTTGACACATTTGATGGTCTAATGCGTATACTTTGCTATTGGCCAAATCCTTTGTGGGGGACTTTACTTCGTGATGGAGCATATTTCATAATAGTTATATGTTCAATAGTATCTCTTCGTTTCTGTCATCAATCCTGTTCACTTAACTCGACACCACTCGCTGAACGACTACCGGATCCAGTTTTACAGTTAAATCTTTTAAGACCACGAACAAGTGTTGAGCAAAGACGACAAAGACGGCAACGACGACAACGTTGATCACCATTCGTTATTCATTATGTTTTACTACGAACAGGTCATATTCGTCGTCGCAGAAGATCACATTACAATCAATAACTGTTAAATGAAACATTTCAGATTCCTTGTTTTATTGTAGAATATTCCTATTATAAAAGAAGGTTGGGTATTCTGTATAAGTATAGGGTATCCTAAAAGTTCACCAAGAAATAAAAGTTGAATAACTGGTTAACAACTTAGTTCGTTTTGATCATCTTTTTACTATTTCATAAGATATTGTCTGAAGTTTTATCTCATATAAATTGATCTAGAATACTCAAGGGAGAAAAAGCGAATTTGAGATTTTCGGATTTTTTTGGATTTTTAGATTTTGAAAATCCAAAAATCTAACAGTAATTTTCTCTTATAAATGAAGAACTTCCGAACTGAAATTTTTGCCATATGTAAGCCTTGTGGCTCTTAAGATATCCTAAAAGTTTTAGCGCAAACGGATGTTTTCTTCTGAAAATAATTCGGTTATAAGAAATATTCATATTTCACAGCATGATTTGAAAATCGAATCTTCTTGAAAATTGATTATCTTGAGAGGGAAATATCCGTTTGCGCTGAAAATTTTAGAATATTCTAAGAACTACGCGGCCTACATCTAGCAAAAATTTTAGCTTGAAATTCCTTCATTTACAAAAGGAAATTGCTGTTGGATTATTGGATTTTTTGAAGATTTAAAATTCAAACGAATCCGCTTTTTCCCCATGATAATACTTCAAAGTCATTATTTGAAATTGAAATGTATGAATTCGCCTATTTCAAAACATGTGGGAAAACATTACAGAAACTATCTCTCAAATCATTGTCTTTTCATTATCTAACATTCCTTAACACATCGGGAAGACTTTTTAGATAAACTTTTAGTGCAAAACAACTTGTTGATATGCTAAAGAATGTTTGATGTAATTCTTTAGATTTGAAATTTCATAAAATATTTAAGCCGTATTTTGGGAAAAGACCCGAAAAAGATTTTAACTCACAAGAACCATTATACAAGATGATAGAATGGCTCGAAAGAAAGGGTCTTAGAAAAAATTGAATTTATTATTCATTATTCTAAGTAGAAACGACGAAGAACGTGTTTTGGAATATGAAAATCTCTTTTTTTTGAAGAAATGAAAAAATTTCAGAAGCTATGGAAGGCGTTCTTTGATGTCCTGAATTGGAAAGATATTGAATGCATTCGGGAAAAGTAACAGCTTTTTTTAAAGAAATGAAGAAGTTCTAACAGAGGTGTAACACATTCCACTTTTTTGGAACGAGTTCTTAGCTGTTTTGTTTTTGATTATTATTATTCACTAGGATGGATATTTTATTAGCGTTTGTTGTTTCAATTAGAAAAATTTGAACTTTGATGATTTGTTGTTTGAAGTGTCTTTTGCTGGTATACATTAAATAAAACATGCTGATATTTTCTCTTTGGGGGAAACAGATTCGATCTGATATACACATAAAACAATTATCTGTCTGTGATGAAAGAGTAGTAGGAAGCTAGTCTCAAAAATGATTATGTAGAACTTTCTTTCTCTAACTGATATCTGACATCTGCCAACAAT